TCCCAGTCTCAGGGATCTCCGCTTGGCCTTCGATCCCTGGTTCTATCGGAGCCCCTGAGATAGAACTGGTGCCATCGGTTCGAGGTTCCACCTGTTCTTCTTTGGAGCGGGCAATGAGCTGACCGAGGATCCGCTCAAATTCTTTAAGTTTGGACGAATCGTCTATAGAGCCCTCGGCTTGATCAGACAGCGCTCTCTCGTCAATCCTTTGGGCCATTCTCACAATGAGATCCTTCAACGGCGACATAGATGAAGCCGCATTGAGATCTCTCTTAGATTCCCCTTCCTCCAATTCGTCGTCAATATCCTCAGTTTCATCTTCATCTTCTTCCTGGTCTTCTTCCTCGTCCTCCTCTTCCTCTTCAACCTCTCTGGTTGTATTGACGTCAGCTTGTACTTGTGACGCCGTCTCTTCGATGGAGGCTGAACTATCTAACTCAGATATGGCATTCGTAGGCTCATCATTGGACACAGGTGATGTAAACGATTCAGACTCTGACTGCGTCTCTAAGCTATCATCTTGTTGTGCCCCTATTTCTTCTGGTTGAGAATCTGCATTCTCACCTTCGCTAGAGATGTGCTTGGACTCTTCTTCGATTTGCGACTGTTCTGTATCAAGTTCAAGTTCAGGTACGGATTGCTCACTACTAGGTTCTGATTCCGGTTCCGTTGTCTCCTGAGTGGAAGTAGGGTCGTCCTCACCGGCAGTCACCTCTCCCTCGATTGGCGCGCTCAGTGTCGACTCTGGTTTAGCAGATCTGATGTTGGTGATGGCGCTGAGTAAGGCATCAACGTATCCCCGCGCTTCAGTGGACGATTTCGCGTGAAGGAGCCCGCTCTGTTCTAGAGCGTCTTCGATTGCTTCCCTCACAGCACCGACGCCGACTTCATCGTCATCCACAGCATCTTCAACCATCTGACGCACTTCATTCCAAGCAGCCAGGCTCGAGGTTTCCTGAGATGAGGCAGGCTTTTCAATTCCCTCAACCTCTCCCTGAACCACGTCCTCGTTTTCATCAACAGACTCAGCTTCAATTTCCGCTTCAGCTTCGGCCTCAACTTCAGCCGCGGCTTCAATCTCGGCTTCAACTTCGGCTTCGACTTCGGCTTCAGCCTCCGCTTTAGCTAAACCAAGAACCTCCTTTTCAAACGCTTCGATAGATGCCCTATTAGCATTTTGAACCTCGTCAATATCTTCCTGGGACACTGGCTTCGCAAAGATATACATGAACGGCGCGTTCGCTGACATCCTCGTCTCGACGTGTAGTCGTAAAGATTGCTCCGGGAACTTCTTGCTGACCCGGTCCAGAATATCATTAAGTAAGGCAAGACTGAGTTTATATTCCCTGTCACCGAGAGTGACGTTCGATGTTCCGTGCAATGCAAGGTCCATTTCACTTATTGGGATGTATTGGAAGCCGAAGATGCGTTGGGTGTTGTGGAATGCGACAAATATACCGTCCATTCGACCCATACGGACTTGAAGGGAATATTTCAAGAATGCAGAACGAATCATATCGTAGTATTCTCGTTCGAATGACTCCCACTGGCCGAATCGATCACGAATTTCGTAGCCAAGACCTTTATGAAATCCTTTCGCATCCATACGAATGGATACAACTGCACGCGTCTTAAGGTCAAACATACCTGACCCAGGCACCCTTGGATCGTGAGCATCCAATTGGGAACGCATCATGAAATCAAGGAATTTAGTATAGTGAAAGGCTTCTTCGGCATTTCGCTCTTCCTCGGTGATCTGGTCGGAGTTGATATGTCTGTACCTCTCGTATTCTTCTTTGGTGAGAGTGAGAAGTTTCTCCATGGACTTCCCAAGCATGCTCAAAATATTGGCCGTATCAAATTCCTTATCGGCATCTATGGCGTAAGTGCCATCTTTCCAATGCAAGAATACTGCCGCCGGGCCTTTCATAATCTTGGTGAACTGAAGAGAGTCTGTAAGGAACCCCTTTGACAGCATTGACGTGTTGATTTCTCGCCAAGACGATAGGAGATAGTGGAAGTGAGAAAGCATAGATGTCATACTTGAGGTCGAACCCGTGTATCTCTTGCCATGCTCTTTCGCAATGCCAATAAGTGTAGAGTCCTTAGAAGAGGTCACATACTGTTTCAGAGCGTTGAAGTCGAATTCTTGAATTGGCATAATCTCAGAGAGATATGGGTCGAAGTTGTAGACTCGGGAACGAGGATCTTGTAAGTGATAGACGCCAGGGTTGAACAGGACCCTGTCAAGACCATAGGACAACCCCGGGACTGACGGCTGAATCGTCTTAATGGGCTCTGGTCGTAGATTATTGGCGGATATAGTACTGATATCTAAGGGCGGTTTTTTCTTCGACTTTGTCCCCTTTCCTGACTCTTGTGCTTCCGATCCTTCCAATGCATCTTCGCCGATAATTTTATAGTCGCCCCAAACATCACCACTATCTACCACATTTCCCGTTCGCTCGCGGAGACCGCTAGACGAGGTTCCCTTTTTAGGTCTGGCTTGTCCTTTTGAAGCCTTTGCAGATGCCGTCTTCTGCTTTGACTTTTCGCGGCCCGCGGCCTTCTTCGTAGCCCTTTTAGAGCGGCCACTTGAAGTTGCAGCCTGCTCCGGTGCACCATCAGCCGTCGCTACATCTTCTTCGCGTGATGCTTTTCGCCTTGACTTCCTCTTTGTTTCCTTCTTCTCTGAAAGACCTTGTGACTTTTGAGTCTCTTCATCGTTGTCTGCAGATTCTGTCTTGGTCTTCGCCTTAGCCTTGGTCTTAGCCTTAGTCTTAGCCTTGGGGGTTTTCTCTGGCTCTGAGTCTTTTAGGTTGATCTGATTTCCAAGTTTGCTGATCTGGTCGACATTGATGTTCTGCGCAGCGAGAACATTTTTTAATGCTTGGAGCGCGCCCTGTAGAACTTGTAGTTGACGTTCACCTTCGGCCTGGGCGGCGATACTCTTTTCGTCCTGCTTAGGCTTTTTCTTTTTCTTTTTCTTCGGCGCTTCTGGTGGTGGTGGTTCTATATTGTCGGCACCAGTAGAATTCGGCGTTGAAGTTTCGGTCGCGGGCGCAAGCAGGCGGGATGTGCTTGAGAGATGTCGGCCATTATGGCTAGGGATCAAGGCGGGACGGAATGCCAGTGATCTTGTCGAATGACAGGGAAGACATGGTGTGCATATGTAAGAGGTTCCGATACGGCGTGCGCTTCGGCTGCTCAATCGAAGCATTGCAAACGCTTTGCGTCAATCCCTAGTGTAATCTCCTAGAAAATAACTCGATCTTTACTACGAGTCGTAGCAATGTAAGTTAACTTGTTGAAGCTTGACAAAAAAAATTCTGGATTCTGGAGCTGGTGTAAAGCTAAAAAAAAGTCTTTATCGATAAACACTAGTATTCAATTTTGACGGTACATAGGTAATTAGTGGCGGGGCGCCTTTGATAAGATAAGACGTCACTCGGCGGCACGGGACAGACTCTAGGTTAGGTACCTCTTCACTACGCGCTCATTCATTCATTCAATTATAACGAATTCTTTGCCTTTAGGTAGTTTTTAATTAACTAGGTACCCAACTACCAGATAATAAACCCGGGGTTTACTCCCAGAGTTTTCCTCTTGGACTTTCTAAGCTTCCAGGAAAAGTGGGTACAATTTGTACGATGCAGAGGTGACTTGCCTCAATCTCGGGTGTATAAGTGGTTGGAATCTGACTAGGTCATGGATATCGACGCAATATCAAACAATGGCTTTCCCAGACAAGCCAATCGCTCACCTACTAGGTTCTAATGGTAAGTCTCGACTCGCTTCAAAGACAGCTCAGCTATAATTTGCTAACCAAGCATCCATCCACAGGCCCCGTCCACGCGCTCGCGTACTCGGCCTCGCCGGGGACGTACATCCTGGCCGGCTCCGCGGACCGGTCTATCAGGCTATACAATCCGCAGCCCAGCACGTCTATCCACCCAAACTCGCACATTACTAAGAAGAGCAACCCCGGGCCCGTAGCCGTACCGGAAGGCCGCCTTATCCAGACGTACTCGGCGCACGGGTACGAGGTGCTATCGCTGACCGTCGCCTCGGACAACGCGCGCTTCGCGTCGTCGGGCGGTGACCGCGCCGTCTTCCTATGGGACGTAGCGTCGGCGCAGACGCTGCGGCGCTTCGGCGGCACCCAGCAAAGTCACACCGCGCGTATTAACTGCGTAGCCTTCGCCGGCGAGGACGATAGTCTTCTCGTGAGCGGTAGTCTTGATACCAGCGTGCGAATCTGGGACGTGAAGAGCAATTCCCTGAAGCCGATTCAGGTCCTGACCGAGGCGCGCGACTCCATCAGTGCTGTTGCCGTGCGCGGCTCTGAGATCGTTAGCGGCAGCGTCGATGGACGAGTTAGGACGTACGATGTGCGTATGGGGCGGTGTACCACTGATGTCATTGGTCCCAGCGTTACGAGTCTGTGCTTGACGAAAGACGGAAAGGCTGTTTTGGTAAGCAGTCTCGATAGCAAGCTACGCTTAATGGATAGGGAGAGCGGAGGATGTCTAAAGACATACTCTGATCCTGAATGGAAGAATGAAGACCTACGTGTGCAGTCTATTATTGGTGGGAAAGAGCAATTCGTCCTAGCGGGAGACGAGATGACAGGTGCACCTGGTCGGCACGGAGAAGGGAGAATGTGGGCATGGGATGTTCTCACGGGGGAGTTGAAAGCTAAAGTAGTCGTCCCCTGGGGACCTGCTGGTCTTGAACCGAAGAAGTCCATTGGCAAAGATGGTAAGCCCAAGGAACGTAGCAATATTCTAAGTTGCTTTTCTTGGAGGGAGAATGGATTTGGGGATCAATATTGTGTTAGTGGCACATCTGGTATTGTCACGGTGTTTGGATATAATTGATACAAGTTTTCCCTAGATCATTCAAATAGACTTCCATTGCGATTTCATAAAGGATATCCAACGTAGCAAACGGCATACGTTGACACCTAGTACAGACCATCCTCAATATCGGGTCTAGGCAAAAAAAAAAAAAAAAAAAAATAGTTGGTTGATTTTTACCATGCCAACCCGAGAAAACAGCTCTCCTTCTACGCCGAACACCGCATGCCACCATGCCACCATGCCATCCTTATCCATAATGGGATTTCCCAGACATTAGTACAGCATCGGACAATATCGTGCAGCCATTGTTTTTCACGTATCCTAAAACCTTCCTTTCAATGTCACATTCAACCCATTCCAGCGACTTTAAACCAGTTAGGTCGGCAGTCTTCTTTATGCAACCAGTTCTCGCCATCAGTTAGACGACCAGTAACGCAGCCTCTGCATTTTGGTGAGTTAGGGCAATTAAAGAAAGGAATATGCTGGTATCCGATGTCGCGGAACCTAGAAGAGGTTAGCATCATGAATTTATTGCCGTAGGACGAGTATACTCACCAATGGACCTTGCTCTTGTCCTCGAACAGACCAAGTGCTATACTGTGCACAGGCGCATCACCCCATCTTTCATAGAAGAAGCCACCAGCACGATCTAAGTGGTTGAAATAGTCTTCGTATGCCTGGCTTCGCCAGAAATTCATATCCGCGATCTCGAAGTTAGTCCAGAAGTGGCATGTCGAATAACCATTTGCCTGTTCCCAGTGGATAGGACGCCGTTGCTTATCAGTCAACCACTGCTCGGCCCTGTTCTCGTGTAGATATTCGGGATGCTGCGTGATGAATTTGGTTGTCTCCGGCCATAAAGTCGGAATCGACTTGGGAGCATCGTAGAGGGTGATGGTGAAACCGTATGTCTTGTTATTGTCCTGCATATAACGAAATACGTCATAGTCCACGTCGCAGAAGAAATGGACATTGGGTTCGACACGCCAGTAGTACTGCATGTCTTTTAGCGCAGGATGCTTATAGAAAAGTCCACTGTTCCATCGGCACATCTTGTGGTACGAGATTTTGTCGGCATATTGAACTTCATTCTCCTCGAGAATCTTGACTGATTCCTTGTACAAGTCGTCATTGATCCAAGACGGTGTATCCCAGTGTTCATTCGGGATAAGTTCTACAATGCTAAATTAGCATAAGCCCCATCGAGAAGCCCATGGTCACATTACACTTACCATATCGCGTTTCAGCCTTGGTCGCCGCTCGTGTCCTTCGCTTGAATTCCTCGGTAAAGGGGACGTCGTTGAAGAATGTCCACGGATAATTGAATTTGGAGTTCCATGTTCGTTCCAAGTCCTGCATCGACTGCAATATTCCATCTAGCTCCTCGTTTCGTACTAGCGTTAGGATCGTCGCATTGATTCTCGAGGTACCGGCGATGCCGGGAGCGTACCCCCCTTCGATTGCGCGGACGAGTTTACCTTCGGGTTCTCCTGTGGCTATTCAGATTGTTAGACGTAGCCCACAGCGAATATAGAACAACTAGGGAAGACTCACGATCCAGATTAGGATCCCTTTCGATGGTACCGTGAAAGTCGGCAGAAGTCTTTATGCTGGGCACGCCAGAAGCCGGGCGCCATATCGTGTATAGGAAAAAACAACAAACTATGAAGACAGCTAGCGCAAGAGCGCGGACGGGCCTCGCGATGGCCATTATGGTAGTTGCTGTTTTATATTCATTAACTTCACCAAAAGGTCTACCGCCCCAAGTTCGTGTCTACTTCGAGAGAATGATGTCAAAGAATGAATAGCCTAGAATACCGCAGAAGCGATCATAATAGGGCAAAGAAACGGAATCAATTAAGTGGTGGGAAATGTACAGGTGAATAGAAGGGTTTCGTCAGGAGTCGTGGCCCAGATGGCACATGTTTAGAATATTCAGAATGTTCAGAATGTTCAGAGGGATATGAGGCATCGGAAAATCTTGGTTACGCTGTAATGGATCTGTTGTACATAAAATCGAAAGTGGGTACCGTATTGGAAGCAAGTGGAAAGGGGGAGCCACAGTGTTGGAAGCACGTGATGTAGGAAGTAGTACATTATCTGCACTGTAAAACCTGTAAAACCTGTCATACCCCTGGTACAACCCCGGTAATTACACCCATGTAGAGATCGCGTCGACGCGTATCAATTTGATAAGCTTTTGTTAGATAAGCCTGTAAATAATGGGCCTTACATGCACATTAGGTAACGAAGGCCTTGGATGCATGTGTACGAAGTACATCCATATATAAGAGGACATACGATTGGGAAAATGTCGGATTAATAAATCAGCCTCATAATATTTCATTCTAGCCTTGCTGGAAATACTAACCCGGTTCGAATAAAACACTTATTATGGCACACGCCGCGACATTGGGTGCATTAACTGAGGAATTAGTTGAAGTCATCACTTCGACATCAAGTCAGGTGGGTAGGGGGTAGAAGGTTACAGTTTACTCTATTTCACACTCACTTACACTGACACATTTCGATAGTCAGATCCTGGACGTTTTAATCTTCTCAAAGAGTCCACATTGCGAAGACTTCGTCATCACAGTTTTCTACGCACGAACCAATTTGATGTTGAGGATAAACTCAACGGGCTCGAAGAGCATTTTCGTGTCATCAACAAGGATGGGTTGGCAGATGCGTTAAGAGAGCGTCTAGACGCTCTTCCACATGTTTCTAGCAACTTGACACCCGAAGTCCTACACTTCTTGTTGCTACTCGAGGACCAGCCTGTTCAGAAATCTAAGCTAGCTGACCTAGAGACGCTCAAAGAATTAGACGAAAATCCTGGCCCGCCTCTTAAATGGGAAGATATTGCTAAAGAAGAAGGCTGGGATCAAGATCGCGACCTCTGGAAAAACATCAAGTTTGGCGGGGATAGCTCGGAAGACGAATATCTTGAAAGTGTATCTGATCTGTCCTCTAGCGCCGAGCTCACCTCGGCATCAACCGTCGAGGCACAATATCAGAAATCTCCCTCTGATTTCCTTGTCGAACCTCAAGATGAGAAACGACTAGAACGAGTGCGAGCAACTCAGCATTGGAGGAATGCTATGCCATCGAAGGAACCAACAGGAAGATCCCATAAGATTACTTTATCCGAGTTTCACGTCGTGCGCGAGGTGCTTTTCATGCTAAATTGTCTTGAAAATACCCTATTCGACAGACAAGGAGTACCCTCATTACAATTCCAATTGAAGCATACCTCCTGGGAACTTTATAAAGCGCTGCTAGGCTCTTACGGCGAAGCTGGCCGACAATTGTCTATCCTTCGCGAGTTTATAAAGCAGCCCCAGAGTATCCCGCTATTACAAGTGTTCCGAGAGGCAGTTGAGGAACGACTTCGATCATTCGATCGCGAAATTTCGAACTTCCAAGCCCGATACGTAGATATTCAGAAAGATATCGTTATTAGTCTAGCCAGAGTTCTAGATGATATAAAACCTCATTTGCAACCACTCGTTAGCCTTTCGGAAATTGTCCAGCAGCTCCAACGATCAAGATACCCCCGCCCGTTTTATTACTTGGAACTTCTTTTCGAGGCTGCCGAACTTGCCCAATTAGAGGGACACGATGCGGTATATCAGTTTATTGCTACCCTATTTTTCGAGTGTTTCCAGGTTTACCTTCGATCTATTCGCCTTTGGATGGAGGCCGGAGAGCTGATAAGTGACGATAAAGCTTTCTTCATCTCTAGCTCGCCGAGCAAAGTTCCCATGAGCCAAGTATGGTCAAATCAATATACTTTGCGAAAAACAACCGACGGTACATTATATGTACCACGATTTCTACGGCCAGCGGCGTCGAGGATACTCACTACCGGCAAGAGCGTTGTTGTACTTAAGCTCCTCGGAAAATATCAATCAACCAATACTCACATGACGGACTCGCCTATAGATGTTAACAGAGACCTTATATCGACGTATGGCGTCTTCGTGCCATTTCCTGAAGTCTTTGGCGATGTTTTTGAGAAATGGATGGAGAGTAAACATCACGCCGCATCTACAACCCTTCGGCGGACCCTCTTCGAGTCTTGTAGTCTCTGGTCAGTTCTGGATGCGCTCCAGCAAGTATACCTTATGTCCAATGGGGCACAGTCCGACCTCTTCGCTTTCGCAATATTCAACAATATGGATCTCCTCAATTCAAACTGGCATGATCACTTCAACTTGACTGCTCTAGCGCATGAGACATTCGGCACTATTATCAACGCTCATCGACTAGTCGTTAGTGTGGCAACGGATAGCCTTACAGATGATGTAAAAGATATTCGACGATCAGTTCGCAAGGGTCTACCACTTGTCAGGATCCTCTATCGCTTGTCCTGGCCGATCCGGATTATCTTATCAGACGAAAGTCTTGCCCAATATGAGGCAGTCTTTACCTTCTTACTGCAGCTCCATCGAGCTACTTACGTCCTTCACAAATACCGCTTAGTCTCTGACAGCATTGCGGGTACACCAAATACGTCATCAGACCAAACAACCTATTATGGTCTCAGAGCGAAGCTCCTGTGGTTCTGCAACACGCTTCGATCATACCTAATTACGTTAGTGTTAGAACCACTCACGGCTGAACTTCACCAGAACCTTCGGCATACAGAAGACATAACTGCTATGACCGCATTGCACAGTGCGTATACAAAACAGATTATCAGCGAAGTGTGTTTGGGCAGCAAGCTTGATCCTATCCGAGAATGCATTCTAGACATGTTTGACCTTACTATCAGGCTTCAGGATGCACGGCAATTAGAATCCGAAAGGGAGCAGGAAGAGGAACAGGAGTTATCACGATTATCAGTCATGTCTTCACCTACGAAGCATAGTCGACGGTATATGGGGAGTGGCGAAGAGGAAGACGAAACATTTCTCTTGGATCAAGACAAGACCTCGATGATGCAAGATAAGGAAAAGACATTCGCTGAAGTCCTAGGTGACATACGAGCGGACATAGATCGCCACTTGAAATTTATTTGTAGCGGGTTGAGAGGCGTTGCAAGGGCCAGTGGCGACGCCGCTGCAGGAAAATGGGATACCCTAGCAGAAATGTTTGAAGCTGGGATTCGAGATCGAAGATGAATGTGCTACATAGTGACAATTACATGATCATCAATAACACACAAACGATTAACTAACTAATGAAGCAGTCTGATGTTTACGTACATATCCCCTTGTTGAAAGTGTAACCATCGCAACTGAGCGTAGTAATAAGCTTGCGTAGGGTCTATTAAGTTCCAGGCAGTATAATAGGATCTCAATAAGATATCGAACCTAGAGAACGACATTGGGGCCAAGTCTACGTTGCTGACGAATCCCATTTGGCAGTCCTGAAAAAGCATCATAATCCAGCCTTCCTAGCCACCGATGACAAGTCATTTCTTCAGATCTGTCCGAAAGTTCTGACCTAGGTAGAATGATGGGGTCATGTCTGGTTTGCCCCATACGACCGAAACCAGATTTAGTGCAGCGCAGGGGCCAGAGGCTAGATTTTATCTATACCCGAAGGAATTGTCCGACAACAAGGCTTGAATTATACATACATAGGTATGTAGATTGGTCCCAGTTTATTAAGTCTGGGCATGCATCATACCCGCACGGGGAAGTGGAGCAAATCTTATCAAAGTACATACCTTAGGTACGTACTGGAAGTGATATGTATACGTACCTCGGTAGGTATCTTCGTATCTTTCAGGGCTCAAACTAAAAGCCCCAATTTCAGCCGCAGTCTTTAATGGAGGTGAGCGCTACCTAGGCAAGTGAGGCTGAAATCCCACGTGACTAGCGCCACAACTCCACCTCATATAGTGGAAGTACCAATCAACTGCTACCTACACATCGCATTCTATTCTGGTACTACATGTATCTTATCGCCTTTTATTCACGTCTTCAACTCATCGCCATAAGACGCGTCTCATCGAAACTAAGTCGTTAGGAACGAATAGCCCTACAAAATCAACTTTTCCGTCCGTCTCGTAAAGTAAAGGACCATGTCTGAACGAAAAGTTCTCAGTATGTTCCCTAACGATAGCTCCATCTCACTTTCAACCCCTGGATAATAGATATCTCTTTGTTAGCTTTCAGTACTAACCGCGTGCAGCCAAATATTACCCCCCTGACTTCGATCCAAGTCAGATCAAGAGGGTTAAAGGGCCTAAAAATGCCGGCCCGAAGGTTCAGACTGTCCGCCTGGCGGCACCATTGGTATGTGAAGCCTTCGAGACTCGTATTTTTATGTTATCCTCAAATCCCGATATATTCCCATTATAGTGAAGCTAATAGGCTTGTAGTATGTGAAGTTCTTTGAATAGACATTGCTCTAGAATGAGCTAGATATTGACACTTGGTAGTTCTATGAAATGTACCACATGTGGAGAGTATATCTACAAAGGCAGAAAGGTACGAGCCCAACCCCAAAATATTCTCTAAACTACACCCGTGCTAATATTAAATTTAGTTCAACGCGCGGAAAGAGACGCCCCTTGATGAAAAATACTTAGGCATTCAGATTTTCAGGTACATATTAAGCATCTACCTTTATCATACTTTACTATCTTCGATGAAGCTAACATATTCGACAGTATGTTGCAATATTCTTCCCCTTTACCTACCCTATCCACCACTGGAGTGTCAGGTATCCTCACATAATATTAATATAAGACAGGATTCTACATCCGATGTACAAGGTGCAGCGGACAAATCACATTCAAAACAGATCCCAAGAACCAAGACTACGTATGTCCCAGCCCCCTATTAATGTAACACTATGAATTCCCTTCGTTTTTTAACCTCAATCACAGGCCTGCGAGAGTGGAGCAAAACGGAGTACAGAGCCATGGCGGGTAGGAGTCGACGAGACGGACGAAGAGCGGTTAGACAGGCTAGAGAAGGAGGAAGAGGAGCGCAATGCCATGGTAGAGCTCGAAGCCAAGACCGTAGACGCGAAGCGTGAGATGGCAGTCGCGGACGCTCTAGACGAGATACGTACGAGAAACGCCCGGCTAGAACGTGCAAACCAGGATGGCATAGAGGTGAGCGTTGCGCTACCTGTCGATAATGAAGCAGAGCGGCAAGAGAAAGAAGACGCAGAAGCGGCAAGGAGGGCTTTTGAGTTCGCGAGGCAAGTCGACCTCATGACGGAAGACGTTATAGACGAGGAAATGGATGACGTGGCGTTCGCCTCGACGGCGGCGCTCACGCCTGGAAGTGGCGGTAACGGTAGCAGTGCCCCTCGGGCACAACCGGCAACAGCATCATCGTCGGCAGCAAATGCGCCATCTAAGGACATGCCGCCCCCATCATTCAAGCGAGTAGTAAAGAAGAAAAAGGATCACGCGGCAGCGCTCGGTATAAAGAAGAAGGCCCCTCTCGTATAGATGAGTCGAGATTGCAATTAATTATGACGGCTCGGGTGGCATGTGATAGCATAGCATAACATAGCGACGGATATTCGGTCGGTTTACGAATGGCAATACGGAGCTTCAACTCTGTCCAATAATGAGGATAATCTTGAGCATAATAAACGTATCTCCATACTTGGCCGTCTGCCGGCAAGCCGCGGTGATCAGCCAACTCTTCTACAGAAATAATGGAGAGGTCTCCGTTTCTATTAAACCCCTGTCACGTTCAACCCGACTCGCATCTGCCAAAGACGAATTAAAAGTACCGTAATTCCGTGAGGGGTCCTCAATAGCGGCTATCGTTAGACAACGTGATGTGCTTCGACATATCTTACCGACATTCTATCCCGGGCTACCAGGGACGTGCAGAGATCGACATCGTATCCCACATCCCGCATGGATCTATCAGTCCCGCAATCTAAGGAAATCTTCGCCTGTAAATTCCAGTTATGATTGAGCAAGTTTATTTTAGAAGTCTACATTCGGAATAAAGATGTCAAATATATAGGTAGGTAGGTATATTTAGAAATTTGATATATAAGAGCATTCATCTCGCAACGAGATCGCGGTAAATTTCGCGGCACATGAAATTCCAACCAGGAAATTAGACGACACCGAGTATGATTGATTAATGAGATTGAAAATGAAAATGAAGTAAGGGCAACAAGGTATAAGCACAGTTGGCCCATAGAAGTGTCATAAGATTACTATAAGAGCGGTCAATTAGTCACAACATGACAGCACACGTCAAGCACAACGGGGAAGAAACAAGAGCCTTGAGATGGATGTTCGCGATCATCCCGGGTATCCGGGGATCATCAATCAATCAGATTCGTGTTCTCGTACGACTCGTCTATCACGGTCGCTCAGTGGCTCTCTCTCGTCTGTTGCCTAGAATAACCACTGCCACTGCCGCAACAACTCCCGACGACTTTGTTTGTTGCCCGATGCTTGCTCTCGTCCAAAAGAAAACTCGCACTGCGTTGCTTTGCTTGGCGTTGCTGGTAAACGTACACTCCCAAATCGCTTCCCCGCGTAAAATGTGTTGTAATGTCATGTAATGTAATAACTCCCCAGCCGTGTGGCCTGAACCCGCGCTCCCTCGCGGACGGTCGGCCGGCCCATCGTCGTTAATCCTTGACGCTGGTGGCTATGCAAGGATGCCCTTTCCTCCCATGTGCCTGCCTGCGTATTCGCTTCCCTGATAGAATCCGGAACGCCTCACAAGTTCGTTCATATCCGGCTGCTAAACTCGACTGAGCTGAGCCAATTCGTGTTTCTGGTTGATGTTGATATTGTTTTTTTGTCCCCGGCCGATGTCCCGTTACCTTGTGGACATATTATTCATGTGCGTTTGTTTGTCTGTTTGTTTGTTTGTATAAGATGGTGTTTTTGCTGGACTCTGCTTATTCGTACATCGCTTTTCAGTCGTGATACTCGACTTCGTCTGGACTCCTCGACGATGACGTCGCTGATGTGCCATTGGAAAGACCGGGTACGTGGGTACGCGACGACCGATTACTCCGTCGACTTGTGGACATGCTTGCTGCCTCCATTTGCCTCTTGGTGTGTTGGTGCATTGATCGAGCATAACTCGCAAGATCTACAGGTGGGGGGATGGAAGATGGCATGGCCATGCTGTAGGAACCTCGTGCGGACATGGTACAGGGTTGGCGATGTTGTTTAATAGAAGAATACAGCGTCAAGCCGGGTGGATGTGACGTTTTAGACGATCAAGTTATTTGTTTGGTAGTGGGTACGAGACCGGAGCCAGTTCGTAATTCAGTATATATCTTTAAGATGGATAGGCAGGTATCGTTAGACCGTGGTGACAAGTGAAAGAAAACGTGAGGTCTCGAGGTTTTATATGTAAGGATGAAGATGAGAAAAGAGGGGGGCGTGAAGAATTGAACTAGAGCGGGCCGTGACCTCAGAGGAACTAGGAACTACGGACTACGGACTACGGACTACCTACGCCTAGACTTCAAAGAAGAGGTGCTATGTTGGGGCTGGGAACTAATAGACTACCTGACTACCTAGTCCCCCCTCTGCCCTCTGACCTCTGGACTAGTCAGAAGATGGCTTGGGTTGTTTACTGCCACCACCTTACTGCATACATACAAACAGAACGCTAAGAGGTTCAGGTTGGGGGTTGATCGACATGTAGGGACGCCGTTTTAGTGCCGGGATGGGAAACCAAGCCTGCAGGCTATGTCGTAAGTGAGAGGAAACAAGCCAATAACCGAACCAGGGCCATTAGACTTTCGCCACGAACAAGGCTGATGATGCATTGTCCCCTCCAAAGTCTCCAGACATGTACTAGACTTGCAGACCCGCTACTACGTAGTTGATTGACCGTATGCCATGCCACCCCATAAACCACTAATAAGCATCACACCATCGAATTGGGAGGCGGGCACGGCGGAAAGGGGTATTGTGCATTGTAGGAAAAAATGGCATGTCATTCTGCATTCAGTCAGCCGCTAATAACGGGTGAAGACATGAAGAAAGCGGAGGACTTGGGGAAGAGTAACAAGTCTCTCTCCCATGTTAGCATGTTTCCCATGTCTCCCATGTCTCCCATGTCTCCCATGTCTCCCATGTCTCCCATGTCTCCCATGTCTCCCATGTCTCCCATATCTCCCATATCTCCCATATATTTCGTGTATTTCATGTATTTCATGTCTCTTCTCCCCCCACCCGCCGTGAGAAACAGACCTCCACCGCGGACCACACCTATTGACGATTGGGAAAGACCCTGGCGATCTTGTCTCGACCTTTGAGGTCACCTTGGAAGGTATCGCATATGTCATTCCATTGGCCACAAACTCACCTACCCATCTGCTGTATCGAGGGCGAAGTGGAGGCCGGACGGAAAGACCTGCACTAGCACAACATAATATGTGAGTATTACAATCATGATCCCGGCTGGCGGGTGTTTACAGCCTTTTCTTTGCAGCTTTAATAGAATTTTGGCTTCTTATCGGAATATCGTACGTGTCTCGTCTAGCTCGACAATTCATTGCATCAATCGATTGTACGAAGATGTTAATAACAAAATATCTTGTTAACTAAGCTTTCATAGAACTAGTTAATAAAAGATTAAAGTGACGTCATATGACTGCTGTAATAAGATTGCAATAAGATTTCGGCGAAAGTAATAAGCACGTGCGGGAAACCAGGATATGTACCGCTTTCGATTCGGTGACTGCATGTGTAACACAATTTCCAAGGCCATGTACCTATGTACCTACCTCATAAGAACGTCGAAATTAACATTGGAACTCGTATGTGTCCAAACGCAAATAGGAAAATCCTGCTAAATGAAAGCCTGCAGGCATACTTGTTTGCATTTCTAATTATTTAAAACCAGGGTTTGGAAAAGACTTGTGTGACTCTTATTGCCCCTAGGTTAAAGGGTTATCCAATAAGTATCAAAGTATCAATCACAGACATCATACGAAAAGCAAAGCAGGTACCTAAACTTATGTAGAATTCCAACCGGATTTAGACTTGGAACGAGGATTTACCGGCTCTAGTCGTTAGTTCGATACCAACTCTTAACGCCGCTAGTACGGATCGAAAGTACATACAAATACAAGAGGGAAATCCAGGGTATTTTCACCAAGATTCCTATTCTTAATGTTGCATTAGTTAAGCATACCTTCCGAACAACAATTGGTGATGCATGTCTTACGCATATCAACTAGTTAGTAGTAAAACGTGTCTAAGAGTTCAGGATTTCCGTTGTAGGGACGCGCAGGCGAGGTAATACGGTAATACGGTAATACACACGTGAAGGTAGTACGCGAGTTTAAAAGGAAAGGCCGCAATTGGGAAATCTGCACCTCAGCGTGCATTGCAATACTAGGGTTAGGTAGTTCCGAGCCAAGCAGGATGCACGTCAAGCCCGACGACAGACATTGCTTGCTTGCCTAGTTAGATACCTAAGCAGAAAAGCAAGGTCGATTAGCCTCGAGCAAAAAAAAAAAAAAAAAGAAAAAAAAGAAAAAGAAAACGAAAAAATAGGGGTCCAAGGGGGAAATCATTGATCTGCCTACTGGTTACCAATCCCGGTTAATATAAGGTTGTACATAGTCGAAAGGTCTCGATCCTCGAAAAGACCCATCTAGACACTGAGGATAAAATGATAGGTTAAGTTTTTTTTCTCGATGTTAATGTATGTACCTAATGTTCTATGTAATTGGGCAAATACAGTGGTGACATCGGCCAGGTGATAATCTTGTAATCTTGTAATACGAAAAACTGTGTTACGTAGCCAGCACAAGTACCTAAGGTATTGTACCTACATAGGTGGTTAGGTACCCCGGGTAGTGCATACATGAATACATATGTAAGTAATAATAGATAGAACTGGTCCGTGCCCGAAGTCCCGTGAACGGCAAAGCCTTATGATGTCAGCTACAAACTCAACCGAACGATGTCGTCGCTAATTTCTACCAACAACGGGCTCATCTTTTTTAGTTGTTACACTTCGAACACGAACATAATTATTTATTTCTCCATACACCTAGCAAAATGTGCTGGACGAGGCTCTGCCTACCACGCATCAGATCTCCACATACTCCCCTTTAGATTGACGACGGGAGGAACCAGACTGCTAGAAAGGCTGCATCCGTCGATATGTAGTAGCGGGGGTTTGCAGTCTCGATTCGGCCTTCTCGCCACTAAGCTCACTAAGTAAACCCTTCCCGAACCTTCGCGGTGAAAGCTGACCTCACTCATCCCCAGCGATCCCACGTGGTGACGAAACCCGAGGCGAATCATAATCCTTAGGTATTCTGGAGTCAACTCTTCATGTATATGTATATACTCTTACCACCATCGATTTCCATACTAGGTGATGCAAACAGCCAGCTTCCCGCCTGCGTTTATCCCAGAACGGCATGGGCATATAAATCTGACATCAGACGTGGTACTCGCTCTCGTATCTGTACCACTGCGTTGGTCGTTTGAAAGCGTTGAGTTTGAGATCGAAGTATCGAGTGGCCCATCGATATACACGCTCTCTTTTCCTGATTTGCCAATTTGCTGCTGCTTTAATAAACTGAGAATCTGCCAGTCACATAAAGAAGATGTGAACTATCGGTGATCACGATAATTTCTTAGACACCGTGGCCAAATTCGGAAACTCTACGTCACCGGCTAAGCTAACAAACCCTCGTCTGGGAATGACCTCATACTACCCCTATCTGGATTAATATATTCGGGAATCATAATCCGTGCGATCACGGCTGACTATCTAGGTTAGGCGTTTAATATTGCCAATAATAATAATACATAACTAACTCATGTATCTACGTGCTATGAAAAGGTGTCGAGTATCCCAGAGTGGCGTACATGTTATCATCAACACTTGGCTCTCAAGTCTAATATGACGTTCTTCAACCCTACTGTGCATTAGAGGCAACCTGGCTACTATGATTTCATTTTCCTTGGCTATCTCACTATCAAAATCCCAAAGTGTCAAAAATCATCATACAGTGCCAACCGTCCCGAGGTGGACTGTCGAAGTCATTCATAACTTCGTGACTCCCAAGGCATTTACGCCACAAATATATGATCACTTTCAGCCAAGACGACATTCTCAAATATACAATGTTTCACGTTGCCACTAGATAGTTGGAAGCCCCGTTGTATTTACTTGGGTACTGTATTACCGAGTCGGATCTGCGTCTTATGATGATTATTAGTGTGCAAGCTATACTTAAATTCATTTACAAAATCAATCGGCAAATATTGATGGAATATAATAAATACCAGGTTAAGTCCTTCCTGTAAGCCAGGTATTGCTAGATTGGTACGAATAGCAATTCGCATTAATACATTAAGTGCTTGATCTTCAACGTTCGTTTGCGCGGGGAGAGAAAATCAAGGCTGGTATTAACAGATCAGTCAATTATACTAGTTACTTAGATTAAGTACATTCCTTTGCCATATTAACGCGTAATCTCGTTTGATTTAAGCAGGCAATGTGGTAGGTTGACAGCAATTCCTATAAAAAAATTCAGACTGGCCATTAAAATAATTCTAAGCAAAGCGAGCCAGATGACATTTGCTAGCTAATTGGCGATAAGCCGCGATCCTCGGCGTCGGATTATACGTACTCGTCCCGGACTCTCGGTCGTGAAGTGGGGTCGGCCGGTACCGCCTTTTGCTTTTTATATGTAGATCCGGAACAACTAGCCGTATTACACCGGGATCTTCCTGTTGCAGATCATCTCATCTCTTTAGCTTACTCTTGTCAGATTTTGTACTTCACCACAATATAAGTGCTGTTGTTGATAGAAGCATACCATACTACTTTTAGCATAGTTAACTAATGTTTTATTTTAAAGTCAAGTGAATTTTATAGCTCAAGCCTTGTATCTCAAGTCTTGTATCAGCTAAGCCAAACCGTGTTCTATATCCCCTAAGCCGAAAAGCTAGGGAATGTTAAACTAGATTTGTAATGAGTTGGTTGGAATAACTATGGCAAGAATGTAATCTATAAGAGGTCAAGGTTTGGTATCATGAAGTGAGCCTAAAAGGCATGGAAACAATTGGATATTTATTTAAATGTCAGGGCATTAATCGTATACCTATTAACAATCCATCCATTATCAAATAATGCCAAAACTAACAGTGCATCTTTGGTCAAATAACCTTATACATACTTTACTCATCTTTTCTAATATGAATTCTAGCTCTTCTATTGCTTATTTCTTTCATCTCTTACTCCTCCTTCTTATAAGGCAGGAATATTTACTCGCATTTAATTCAATATGACATCCTAAGGTAACAAGAACCCCCAAGCACAGGGTCTGTGTCTGCCATTCTAGCGAGATCTGCACTGGTTTCTGGATTTCTTCCGGTAGACTGTGCCGAGCGCGTCCCGCTGCACGAGTACATGCATCTGGGGTGGGTTCGCAACATACCCGGCAGGCCAGATTATATCAGCTACTACGGTACCACCGACTACGCCAACAAGGCTGACCATTGATCCATCAAAGTCAACCTAGACAACTAGTACGTCGTCCCCTCCCTTTCGTCTGTGTGATGCGGATGGTCATTGACGTTTTGTATGTGCGTGACAGCGCCTGGCTTATTTTGTATGCCTATTTCAACAACAACAATGATGCGGGAGCGATGTCTATCTACCGTGAAAATATATGAAACTTTGTTCTTGTCGTATGCCCGTCAATATAATCTTATAGGGTCACTGAGGCATTCAGGGGTTCAGGGGTATCAACCGGGGCGGGCACAGGCCACCAGGATCTAATGGCTTCTTTATCCAGTATGTACGGCCATAGACGAACATCCCCAAGTGACGGCCCCGGGCTTACTAGGCGAAGTCACCTGCAGTGGCTTTACTCCGGGTACTAGTGCCTTGCGTACCCGGTCCCTCGTGACCTGTCGCTTGAAGGGTCCCTGTGTAAGTACATGAGCAGTGTGCACGTAAGCTAGATTAGAGTCAAAATAATGAGAAAGCAAAAGCTCCTTGATTAAAATGAGTGCCTTAACTCCTTTCTAGAATTTCTTCCAATTCGTCGAGCTTGTCCTGGTCCGTTTCCGGGAGATAGTAATCGTAGCCAGAGAAGGGCTGGCGGTAGTCGACGTTGGCCGTTTTCGTAAACCCTTCGTCGATAAAGGGACAGTCGCGGATGCATTGCCACGTCAGGTCGGGGTTTGGGGGCCGGGCCAGTCGCGAAGTCCCGTTCCGTATGATGCGGAACCCCTCCAGGTCTACTTGTGTGAGATGCGGGAATCGCTCCTCGGTCAGTACCGCAAGTAAGCGGTGGAGGAAGGCTGAGGTCAGGTCAAAACAAAAGGGGCGGTAGATTTGGCGGATTGTGATCCGAGATGTCCCACACGAGCCAAGCAGATCTTCGTCTTCGCAGTGGAGGGTAGGATGTTCTCCTAGTCTGATGGATATGGTCCTCAGCGTGTCTTTTACGCTATGAATACGTCAGCAATCATGCTGGGAGTTTTTACAACACTCTCGCTCTTCCTACGAACGAGCGATGTTATTTCGATTATCTGCTTACCTTCGAATAAATTTGGCCGTCTCGTGAAACATAGTTATGTTGTTGCGCTGGTCGAGGGTATCTGTGAAAGGGCCGAGTCTAATCTGAAGGTGCTTCATCGAACCCAAGCGGCGTTGACGCAGGAAGCGCAAGGGAAACCACATGGGTCCGGGGAAGATAGCTGCGTCTCCTTGCTCTTGGCGCGCCCACAGCTTGTCGTCAATGCCCTCGTCGCTATACGGGTCAACTTGGTGGTGAGAGTATTTCGTGGCGAAGTCCTGGGGTATCGGCTCGCCGTTGGGCAGAGCACCTTCGTCTTGCAAGTGATCAAGCTCGAGACAGCCGAGTTTACTCGTATCGAGCGAGGCCAATATGGCTTTGACCAGTCCACGGTGCATCCAACCAACAAGGCGGAGATGAGTGACGGCGGAAAAAAGCCCGATGGGGTTTTGGCGGATATACGGTTGGTCGCTGATGTTATGTAATGACGCAAGGTCCAGCCGGGCGACGTTCTTCAAGCGACTAAAAACATCCCAGGTCTGCAAGTCCATGTCCGTTAAGCCATCGTCGTCAAAGTCTATCCACACGAGAGTCCAAGTAAAGGCTTTGACGTGCATGGCGAGTTCGGGACGGTCCGTTATGAGGCGAAGGAAAGCACGTTGGCGTGGGACCAGGCCGCGAGGGCGGTACTCGTCCGAGTAGTCGGCCATGGCGATTCCACGAAGAAGAGGAAAATACGGTGTCTCGTATTCAGGAAGCCGGCCGTTGTTGTGACTGCTGAGGTCGACATCCTTGAGCAAAAAGGGGAGGGAGAGGGTGCGCCATGAGCGAGACACGAGCCCGACTCGAGCGAGAGTCCTAGTCTCACCCACCAAATTATCAAAGATCAGCTGCAAAATTTCGACCGGAAAGCTGTCATCTACGTTGGAGGGATGAAGCATGGCTGGAGTGGCTGGCCGGTGGGGAGGCACGTTGTCAAGTTGACCTGGAAGTAATGAAGCTGACCTCGGGCACAAGGCAATAAGTATGTACACGTAACTGGGGTATGATATACCGAGCAGGGGTAAACGCAAGGGATGCCGAACTCGAAAGGTTACCTAGGTAAACAGTGTATTCTCGTTTACATGAAGCTGCCCTGAAATCATCAAATCGCTTGATCTGGCTTGTCTTAAATAAAATATGTAAAACTATTATGGGAATATTGTATTATGGAAGAGCCGTTTGTAACTATATTGCCGAGCCAAGATAGTAACACTACTCATAAAAGACCAAGCACCGCACCTCTATGCTCTGCCGCGGGGGCGCATCCTTAGGCGTCTGAGGATCGATAAAAGCCGTATGCGGCGTCCTCACCGCAATTCCTGCCTTCCCTTGGGGTTGGCCCTCGCCGAACGAGTCATAACACTTTAATAGAATAACCTCATCCGGCGTCATGTCCTTCTGATAGTAGTACTTATGCGCATCGCTCGGCGCAACTGACATCGTCTCACCCCTGACCTCGTACCCTTCCGCCGAGTATCTGGTCGAGTCGTCGGGACGCACTTCCTTGCCCCTATCGTCTTTATCCCTCGCGAAGTCCACACGTTTAGGATAGAGCAGATCCACCGGGATGAAGTCCTCTGGTTTCGTCGAGCGCCAGTCGATGACGGCCAAGGGGTGATCGCTTGCTGGGTTTTCGATGGGCCGCCACACGTTGATGATTTGGAAGCGGCCCTTCAATAGCCCCTCGGCCTCATCCGCTGGGAGATGACGGCGCACACGGGCTTCGGCCGCGGCGGGCGTCTGGTCGACGTGGACCTGCTGTATTGGAACCCGAGCAGCCTCCGGTGTACGTCTCCGGATGGTATGGTCAAATATGACCACCTTCTTGATACCAGGAATTCGCTTCCTTAGGAGATCCTCGATTTCCTGATAGTATGGGCCACGCACAGCAGCATCATCTGTAAATGACTTCTCATTTGACGGTTCATTATAAACCGCAAAGCCGGAGTTGTCTGTGGTAAACTCGCTTTCCTGCCCTCGGATGTTGTTCACTGGGCGGGTATGATCACATAGCTTAAATGAATTAGCTTCGACATCGACTTTTGTCCATGGCCTTGCCCCCTGCGGGATTGCTGATGCATCGATATGTTTGAAAACAGCAGTCGTCATGTTGACTGCCTGTGAGAATTTAGGGGTTATTAGAACTTTCGAATTATGGTGCAATACTTGTGTGAAGGTTCGTCGCGCGATAGTTGATAGCAAGGTCATGGACTAAACAGTTCACAAGTTCTAAGAGTCTATATCAAAACAAAAATTAAATATTGCTCCTGGCATTCTATCCAAATATACGTTCGCGATGGGGGCTTCATAGAGTTTATGACCTTGCCAAATTAATAATGTACGGGTTAATTACTTATTTACGAGTTAACTGTCGCGATCCCGATGGCAATCGTTATTAGTAAACGCTGATCATCATTGGAACGTGTTGGAAGTTTAATAGGGTAAGCTTGCCTACTTCTGGATGCCGAGACGCTCCGGGGCGGCGGAGATTCCTACGCGGGGGAACAAAGACCCAGAGCCTTTTTACTAGGTTAATACTTAGCCGGTATTAAGTGTTGTGCGAGTAAAGTTGCCTTATATAACCTCGGAGATAGACTGTGGTTATGCCATTGATATAAATGAGAATCTTATAACAGGTACTCACTGCTTACCAGAGACATCTCTATTATAGTTTACTCCAGGTTATAACATTAACGCCAAATAAGAGTAAAGAGGACCTAATAGTCCTAAATTGATACAGACCTGCTTAGATATTATATTTCAAGTGAATCTTTAATAGTAACGAGCGCTAGCTACGAGTTTATGCCACAAGGAATAAAAGTTGGCTTCTCAATACTTTCACATTTTATAAATAGCCCGGGTCAACAAAATAATCCTTTAAGTATTCTTAACTCTTATTAAGAACAAGTAGCATCAGAATATAACTACCGATCTTATTAATTCGTGTGCTCGCATATAGTACGCGCCCTATTGCCAACTACCACTTATATTTAGTCCTAATTCTTAGACTACGTGCTTCCTACGTACTCCGACGGAAAACACCGTGTTGAATTATAGCTGAATACACTGTATCTAGATCTTATTGCAACATCGTCAATCGACTCCACAATTAAAGCACCTGAAAAGAATAGTCATAAGCCCGTTAGGATTCTCCTCGGCTACTCCCATTATCCTCACATAACGGTCAACTTTATCTCTTGCCATAAACATCTTTACACAGGTAGAATAAGTAGCCCAAAGAAGAAACTACTTGTCAGCTCATCCCATCAACATGGCGCCCGCTCAGCCACCGGACATCACCGTCAATGATCTGACATACACCTTCCCCGACTACAGGACAGGCATCCAGGGTATATCGCTGAACGTCCCGCCGCGCAGCCGCACCCTTCTCATCGGCGCCAACGGCGCGGGTAAAACGACGCTGCTGCGCTTACTAGCGGGCAAGCGTCTGGCCCCCAGCGGCACCATCAGCGTATCAGGAGTCGACCCCTTCAAAGAGGGGCTAGAAGGAGTCACGTACCTCGGGCTAGAATGGGTGCTCAACCCCATCGTGCGCACCGACATCGGGGTCGCCGAGCTCCTGCGCTCCGTCGGCGGCGACGCGTACCCCGCGCGGCGGGACGAGCTGATCGGCGTGCTGGACATCGACATCGCGTGGCGGATGCACGCGGTCAGCGACGGCGAGCGGCGCCGCGTGCAGCTGGCCATGGGCCTCGTGCGTCCGTGGACCGTGCTGCTGCTCGACGAGATCACCGTGGACTTGGACGTGCTGAGCCGCGCCGAGTTCCTCGGCTGGCTGAAGCACGAGACAGAGATCCGCGAGTGCACCATCGTCTACGCCACCCACATCCTCGATAATCTCGCCGGCTGGCCCACGCACCTCGTCCACATGCACCTGGGTACCGTGCGCGAGTGGGGGCCTACCGAGCAGTTCCTGGGCCAGGCCACGAGCACGAGCACGGGCAACAGTCGTCTTGGAGAATTGGTGCTGGGGTGGTTGAAGTCGGACTTGAAGGAGCGGGGGCCGAGGAATCAGAAGAAGATGGGGACGGAGGGGTTGACGTATTCGCAGGGGGGTCTTGGTGGGTATGGGCTTGAGAGTAGCGAGAAGAGGAAGTAGGTCGCTTAGGCGAAAGATTTCGGGTGGGAGATGAGTCTATGTTATGGCCTGGCTTGATGGTCTGTTGCGGGGTGAGTGGCTAGGGGTGGATGCACTTAACTTGCATGGCACGGCGTATTTTCAACATGGCGATGGTAAATATACTCCACGGGTATTTTTGCTGAGACCGGGGCGTTTAGGGATGGATTGGGATGAAGTCAATGAACTAGCATAAATAATGAAGACTACCGTAGCTGTTGCGGGACGGTGGGTTATTTGAGATACCCTTTCAACAGGATAGACCTAGAGTAATACTAGGGGGTGTTGATTAAAATAGATGAGGAATATCACTTGCATGATCACGGTCGATTTGAATAAATAATCTGACCAAGTCTTGTTGTATTACTTACTATGCCGCGTCTGCCATCGCCATTAATGACCTCCTCTTCATCACGTTTGTCATAGTGTTGTACATCAACTCTCCAACACCAGCCATGCCTTTCTGCTCCAAACAATTTAGCACGCCAAGGCGGTAGTCATCCCAACCAACTCTCAAACCACCACTGTGAGCCAGAGAACTGAGACTGGCACGAGTTATCGGCCCGGCGTGCCTAGTGCTTAGCTCGCCTTGTACTAACGCCTCGTCTTCCAACTCCCGAAAGTGCGAGATTGCTGAGAGGCTTAGGGCTGGCGAATAGGAAAGAGAAAAGAGTGTCGAAAGGGGTGCGCTCGTCTTAAGGCGACTAGCATATGCTGCGAGGTCTTCGAAGAGTGGCCGAGGCACTAAACAACCATGAGAATTTACATCGTTGCTATTGAAGGCACGCGATCGCCAGATACAATTGCAAATGTCCATCAAAAAGCCGTTGAACTCGTTGATGTACTCTGGAGTATATTGGGAGCGGGACGTCGACATAGCCTTCTGAAACCCTGCCTTGTATTTCGACAATATGGAACAGAGTCTGGAGAGAGTATTCGGACAGAAGCTAAAGTGTAGGATGTATACCAACGGAGACGGTGGTATCATAATCCAAGTGTGATGGTGCAGTTTTGGATCCGAAGACAGAATTGCAGTTTGCTCGTAGAAATCCAAGACCTTTGAGTAGGTAGAATTGGTGGGTGAGGTCTGGATAAGAGTGAGACAGAGATTGTTGACATGACCCACCAGGTCAGCGATGATAGTCGATGCATTTGGCGACTTTTGCTCGAGTGATGCTAGGGAGATTGCCCAACGCTGAAGCAGCATCGTATAAAACTCGAGTAATTGTAATTGGGAAACTGTGGTATCGTCGAGTACCTTAGCTTCAAGCGTCTGGAAAATACCAGCGGAGAGTTCTGGGTTCTATTAGTCTTAGAATAGCCGCGATTTAGATTTTGCTTCTAACCTCGATAATTAAGCAATGGCAAGTGTGACAATATAGTGAATATCAAGCCTTTTCCATCATGGCCATTCCATATCTTAAGATACTCGATGAAGAAAGCCAAGAATATAGGGGGGAAAGTCTGGGTAAAGATTAGTCAAAATGCTAATTTGGCTCGCAAGTTCTTTTCTCACACACCTTAGTACTTGACACGTAGTTATTCAGTATTTCCAAGCCATCACTGGAATCTGTGTTGGATTCCCCACTTATGAGATCTTGTCCGTATGAAGCCAACCAACTACTCACCCTCTGATGAGCTTCAGCGTCAGGCTTCAAAACAAGCAACTTTTGTAGTAATGGATCTCCTAGGATCGCTATTAGCTGATTTGGCAATTCAATCTTTTCTAGATTTTTCACGAAGCTATCTACGTTCTCAATCTCCTCTAGGGTGATAGAGTTCTAGCAAATTGTCAGTTTGTAACTGTCCCTTCAAAGAGGCGAAGTAAAACAGACCTCTGTCGCGTTTGACGTGTGCACCTCCGGGAATGGACCGGAGCTCTTGCCATTTATTCTACTTCTGGCAACTCTAAAGGCATTCGGCGGGCGTTCTGCTCTATTCGTACTTCGTTCTACATGGGCTTGTTGAATTTCATCGAGCCTCTCACGCCATTGCGGGTCTGGATGCTGCGAAAACAATAAGCTATTTTGCGTCAAAAACAAGACTGTATAAGACATACCTTAAAAGCCGACGCTTTAGCACGAGTGGCTTCCCCTACAATGATCTCGGGGTAGTAGTCTTTATACACTCGGAGCAAGCCGGTCACTGCAGGATCATTCCCCGTTTGCCTAGACAAGGATAAACTTGAGAGATATAAGCGATCTAGTGACCCAAATGCTTTTAGAGGCAACTCACAGGCTCTGGATTCGATAGGGTCGCACATGCCGACGCCGAGTGATGAGAGCTAGTAGATGGCATAGCTGCTTCCTGTGACAGTTAACAAGGCATGTTTGAGTAGCAATATATCGATATACTGACCTAATTGCGGCAGTTTCTAGTAAATTGAATAGAACCGAGTAGGCGCGCGATAAGATGGCCTGGTTTTCTATAATGTGATGAACCATAACAAGCCATCTCAGGAGCGCTCCTTGGATGTTAAGAGATGGTTTCAGCTTTCCATGCCCGAGACAGCCAATGATCCTAACTACAAGCTCGATGTTCACAGTAGCTACCGGATATAAATTCCGTATGAGATTTCCGAGGCTTGCCTGATCAAGAAAACTTGGAGTAGTAACCAGATCTATGAGTTGGCCTAGATCGTCCGGGAGGAGACCTTGCTCATAAGACAACGAAGCCAACTTCTCTACGGATAGCTTTACATTGCTTCCACGTTGCTTTGCCGTCAGTTTAGATGCTTTTGGGGTTGGTAAGTATTATTTTTAACAGTGATAATTGCTTAAGGGGCGTACTAACCCTCAACCACATCTGTCAGGACTTCGCGTATGTCTTCCGCGCCATGAATCGTATCGTCTTCTTGATATCCCGACATAATTACTAATTATCCCCTGAGATTTAGCTAGCATAGATATTCGTTAGCCTTGCATAGCATCATAATGGCGGATCCTACGCGTTGTTGGTACATGTAGGCTTAGACGCGCCTGAAAGGGGAATGATTGGATAAAAAGTACTTATGTATAATGTGGTATAATGTGGGGTCTTTATTATGTAATCTGGGGCATAAAGTTGGAAGTCTTGCGAACAGACATTTGGAACGCCTAAAAAGGGCGCTAATGTCGCCAAGACTAGTGTGCGTAACCCCCATTACGAGCTTGTCTGACTTAAGGAAATGGCTAACTTTGGAATGCGTTATCGCGTCTCCAACAACAGTTCTTAACCTAGTCGCTTTGGTTGTTATATGTAGGGTTTTAGGCAATTTTTTCTAGAATGGGATCCCGAAGCGCCGTGATTGGATAAACTATCTTACGACGTCGAGGCTCTTACATGCAATCTGCAGTCGTGCCGTCGGCTACTCTCTCGGAAATCCTTCTAGAGAACCAATAACTTACACATAAGCCAAAGCCTCACATATTACGCCTTTAGCGGTTTATCCTTTCAAAGGAACCTTTCAAAATCCTGGTCTTTCTAGCGCTAAAACCCCAAACTTTTTGCTTGGATCTATGTGCGTAGGACCAACGTCATCTAGATAAGTCTATTATGCGTGGTTATCACCCAAGAATAGCCAACAAGAAGTCGCATCGACCAATTTCGTAAAGCTAGCAAATGGTATTCCTACGTCTTCTTATCCCTTCCATTCACCTTACTTGATCCTTCGGCCGAGATAAGTAAACCACTTTATGTGTGGATGCGGTTCAGCAAACAGGTAGCAACCTGTCCGACCTACTAATGTATTCCATATTGTTTGGTAGGTACACGAAATATAGAAGTCTGTTAGGCTAGTGGGTCCAATGCATAGCGAATAGGGATTATTACCGATTTGTTAACAGGCAGATAAGTACGAACTGCAGCAACTTGCTTTTTCGAAGGAGCCTCAATCGGCTCCGCCCCGGCCATTTCTATAAGGGGGAACGACAATCTCAAGTACCTAAATAAGTGCTTGCGTAACGTGAGCAATTATACGATTAAAGCAAGCAATGTAAGTGCCTTTCTAGTCAGCGTTTCAATAACGTAAAGGTCGTAATAGGCTATCTGTACTACGCGGATTTTGTTGCGTGGGTATCGTTTGCCGAGCGGTGTTAAGCTGTGAGAAGCCGTATGTCCAACGCGTAGCTATTTATCTGCAGACAACGCACTGTACAACCCAGTTAAAAAGTCGGTTGTTTCTGAGTAAATATAACAAATACTTCCTAGTTCGAATTATTCTATTATAGTTAAATAATATTATTAAACATTTGAAGGGTACATACATAGGTACTTTAACTTACATACTTGAGGACCTACTTAAATATTAAAATACTTATTAATCGCGGAATTTAATCTTATAAACTTTACCAAGATACCGGGATAATTTGAAAAAGAACCTACATACATGTACATAGTGATAGGTATTAATGGATATGTACCCACTTGTTACTTCTGCGTTCTTAACATTCCGCAACCCGAACGTCAGAATTGAGGCAAGAACATGCAATTGAAGGAAGTAAAGCAGGTAGTAACACAAGCAAGTGGTGTGACTAATTAGGAAATATACTGGTTTCAGCGCGGCTATAAGCGAGGTGGGGTAGTTGACTGCTACGGTCTGCAGATTATCATGCCTTCCAAAATTTACATCGTCCAACAGCAGCCGCGGTAGACAATAATGGGGAGGTTAAGGTTATAGAACGGTGGTTAATGCCTTAAAGGGACATCTCCGTAGACACGAGCCCGTCGATGCGACACCATATTATATGTATTTTTATTTTATTTTAATTTTTCGATAGCTACTTCGTATAACTATGTAAAAAAGATAACAATACCTACCTAATAAAAAGCTTCGAGTAATATACAAGAGAATCGACTCGGCCGCTTTCACATTGAAAAAGCTATAAGTTACTTAAAGAAATGGTCAAAATATTCGGCATATCCGATGCTATAGTGCACATTCCTCCGGAAGTTAAAATCGCTAGTCAGCACCATTCTATGTATTCATAGGTTCGCACCTACCTACACAGGTAGAATGATGTAGGTTAGCATGCAAGTGCGAACTTGCCTTTATCGGCAATAAGAACGTTATGTACCTACATCAAATAGGTACCTAGTTCCCGTCCTTGGCAGGTAAGGTAGTTTAGCGTACCCGAGTTGGAACACCCATCGGCGTTTCCTCTTGATGCTTGTGTTGGCTATGCTAGGGTCTTAAAAATCTTTAGCAAAAATAAACCATATCCCAGCACCTCCAACGCTTATCATTCTCACCTAGTCTCTACCTACTTCTTACCATGTTGCATTGCATTTGTACTACCAACTCGCAACTCTTAATTCGATTAGATCGCCTCGGGGGAACAAGACTCCCAATCATTCAACTATATTCAAGGTCACGCCCCAACATGCAGGTATAGACGTATCCTTCGGGGAGTAGTACATGTCGAATTCGCTATCGAGGTCATCATCAAAGTTTTACAAATGTTATCCTTTTAGTACCTAATGTATGTACGACTCGAACATGGTCGTCGCAAAATCAGCGGCATGTGTGCACGTTCATTTATACACACTCAGTGTGTGTTCTGCACGTTATATTGCCCAATGTTACCCCCACACACAACTAGCATTGCCCCGAGCAATGCTGAAAACCCTAAGCTGCTAACTTAGGTATTGTCCAGCATGGTCAATACTATGCGCATGCTACTCTAGAAGCATACATGTACGACTGGGCCCCAGCTGTATAGAAACGTGAAGGACATATGCCGTGCTATTCTTGGGCTGGCTATTCAGGTCTAATGCCCGTTATTATTTTGCGTTGCCATCCTCAGCGCAAGATCCCTTTAACTTAGCATCAATATTATTAAGTACGAATAAATAAAGCCGGTGAGTGCCCGTGTTACCAGGCGTCTTGACTCACTTACACCATTTTCATGCGTTGCATCTGTCTGACGCTGATGCTCTTGATAGCGACCCTAGAAGTACATCCACCACTACCGTAGTGGTATCAAACCGTATACATTGTCAGCTTCCTTTAACTGCTCGGGATCCAGAGCGGAGACTAGTGGAACAACGCTCTTCACCGCTGGTCGCCCTCTATTACAAACGGACATCGGCTTTGATATTATTAATTGCATCCGATTAGGCAGTTTATATACATGTACCTTTGGCGTGGCGTCTGTATGTACAGGTATGTAATACCAAGGAATACACTTGCTGCGGCAAATGGAGCTCTGCACTTGTGGCGGCAAGTCGCTTACCTCTCTTATCGCATCACTCTACTACAGCGGGCTTACCGTCCCCTGTATCCGGGTCCCGGTTGCCCGTACCATACTATGGGCATTGAAAAGGCTCATTTCGCATTTCGGCCGCTACGGCTACTCCTCGATCGTTATCCTAGCTCTCATTACTGACCTGTTGGAATTTCTAGTAGCTGAAAGATCCTCCCAACCCCGGCACCAGAGCAGCGCCACATCCTTTCCCACCTGGTTAGTGTGGAACGTTTCATGCGTTACAAGCCTCAATAAGGCTCCTTTCTATAATCTAGTATAGGAGACGCTTGGTATTTGATGATGCTTATGTCATAAAGCTTCTACTATTCGGTGAGATTAGACCTGGTGAGTAATTTCGGCATAGTCTGCTGACAGCTTAGGCCAATCCTAGTCGAGTTTTACTTCCGACTTAACTATACTAATATATAACCTAGGAATATCCAAAGTTCATCGGTGATGAAGTGCATGCTCGGTATTTGGTAGCTCTAAGAAATGCTTCCCGGTCAACCAGCCACTACGTCCGGACACCGTGGAGGCTCACGTCGGTCTCAGGTGACCCTCATCAGGGACCACCAGGTCAGTAGCCTACTATAGCGTTTTATTATGTCCGGTTCGAGCCAGGAAATGGACATATTCATAAAGACGACTTTTTGAGTTATATCGTAGCTCACTCATAATGGTTTCCTAAAGCCAACTACCTAGATGAAAACACACTAACCTAAATGACCTACAGGCTTGCATCCCCCTTACTAGGATACTCGGCGACGGTGACATTGTCGTTCTTCTCACACCAGTCGTTCCACCTGCCCAACTAGATGTTGGTAAAGACAGCGACCCGTTTGAGCCATTAGGCCGAGCCTTGGCCGCGAGACATCCATGGATTCGACATGTTCCGTACACCTCACGGAACGGGTTAACTGGCATACATGTCGGTTTCATCAAACGAGCCAAAGTTGTCATCTTCGTCATCTCGGGGTCTCCATACACCGGACAATCTTCACAGGTTGAGATTGGCCTAATGGCGCGGAAGATAGGTGAACAACGCCCGCAAATCATCATGGCATGCCAAAATGTACATGATCTCGGCCTTATGGAAGTAAACTTCCCTACAATTGTCCAGCTGCCTGGATATCTACCTTCTGATTTGCAGGTTGCGGCTGCCGTTCTGTTTGGTGAAGCTACAGCCACAGGTACCGCGGGGTTAGATGTGCAGTCATTGATGATAGAGCCGAAATTCTGGCCTCCAGAGAGTTGGGATGCTCTTAATGTCGCTCCAGTACATGAGCTTTGGAATCAGTGTTTACCGGATCAGTTTCACCTGGAGAAATTCCCCCTGCAGTCATTGCTCCAGCGGGATGGTTACGCGATGCATTTCGTCGTGAGACTTCCTGAGAACCGCGAAGTTATCGGGTTCTGTGCGACTTATACTACATTTGTTGATAGAGAAGGTGAGAGACTTATCGGGTCGTTGGCTATGATCATTGTTAAACCAGCGTATCGGCGGCGGGGGATCGGGCTTAGCCTGTATGAGCACGCTCTCAAACAACTTAAAAGAATACGGGGAGTGGATCGAATTCAATTGGGTTCTACGTTCCCCCGCCTTCTGAGCGGTATTCCTGCCGCTTCTGCGTCTGAGGGCTGGTTTCGGAGGCGGGGTTGGCAAATGGATGGGCAGGCTCCAGGCCATGGTCAAGATATTTGCGACTGGCTCTTGAGGATCGATGATTGGCCGAGCGGTGGATTGTCAGCGTCTTCCTCCGGGCTGACTTTCCGACAGGGC